AAAACCCACACCAGCTATTACGTACAGTAGTTCAGTAAAAAGCAGAGCATCCTGCTCCAACAGGGAGAACACTCCCCAGCTTTCATTCCAGTTTGGGCTTTTTTTCATTTATGGTTTTTTATACTGGTCTGGAAAAGCCAAGTATGCCAAAGAACTTTTAAAGTACTTTTTTTGTGTGAACTATCACCAGTGCCAGAGGGAAACCTCAGGACAGAAAGAAACCTCCCAGTTGCTTAGCTTCCCAAGAAAACTACTTCACCCAAATAAAATGGGGCTTCTCAAGGTTCCTCCAATGTTCCAAAGACAGCCCTGTTCCTCAAATTTGCAGTACCCTCGTGCAATAAGAGCTACAACCCCCCAGAGCAGGTGGGACAAGAACACATGGTGATGCTGGAGGGCAAATACAAAAGGGGGCTGGAGAACAGGACATACCATGAAGCCTCTTGGATAAAACCAGGAGTGATGGGCAGTGCAGCAGATCCTGAGAAGGGACCAGGGCTCTCCACAGAGTGAAGAGGCTGGGGAGATTATGCACAAGTCACTTATGAAACACCACAGACTGAGCAAAAACAGACTAAAGAGAAAACAAAAAACCAGAAGCAAAGTCAAAGGACATTGGGTGGAACTGGAAACCAGACCGGGCAATATTGCAGAAAGCTGGTGCCGGTGCTGCAGGCAAATGCCAGACAGGGCAGGGACTTCTTCAAGGAAAACAAGTTGCTCAAAAGAGAAACCTGCCAAGAAGGTGAGGAGTGAACATACAAACCGGCCTTGCAATTGTGACCTTGCACAGACAGAGCTGGCATTGGACAAAATTGGGCTCCTCTCTTTCCCACCTGGAAGACTACTGACCTTATATGCCAACAAATCCTCAGGAAAATGAACAGGTTTTTTTTCAGTGAGAGGAAGACCTCAATGCCAGCTGACCCAGAGTAAAGAGGGATTCTGCATCTCTAGTTGGATCTGAGACAGAAAGGGACCTAATGAATAAGAGGATTGTCTGTTATTAGGATTTGGACAACATAATACAACATTTTCCAGGGGCAAAAATGAGAAAAGTTAGAATACAAATCCTCTGAGTTGGATTTCTCATTCCTTTATCCTCTCCCCCTCTTCCTGATGGCTCTAGGAAGAGGCTCTCTATGGCAGAACAGGTAAGTGATGCAGAAACATTCTGACAAAGGCCACAACTGCCTGCCTCCGAAACCAACCTGCTGCAGCCAGCAGCCTCACAAGTGTGGGGTCCCTGCTCCTGCAGCCCACTCCAGCCTCCAGCCTGTTCCTGAAGAGGCACATAATGTCTTTTTGTTATTTGAATAGACATTCATAGAGGCACAAAACAACAAAGGCTGAAGGAGAGAGAGGAGTAGGACTAGGGATGAGAGCTCATCATCCCAGCCTCTCCCCAACAACAGTCCCCCAGCCAAAGCTTTGCTGCAGCGGTTTCACACCAGTGACACAACAAGGCTCATCTTCCTCCTTCGCCGCTGTCGCTCGAGCACAGATGAAAGCTTTCTGAGTCATCTGCCTGGCAGGTCTGCCCATGCAAGCAGCTAGACACCCTCAATAAAGGTGCCAGGATTATATCTGCCAGGATCCATAAATTGGCTGAGGCCAAAATGCATAAAAGGGAAAAATGAAAGAAAAATGGTTCCTCCACTGCAGATCTCAAGTTATTTCAGTGATATTTCAGCACTCAGGAATTATCTTCTTGCAGTGGTAGAAACACAGACGGGAAGCACAGCACGAGGGCTGTGCTGGGGCAGTCCCGGGGGGCAGCAGGAGCCAGTGTGCTCCGCGGCGCTGGTGCCACACGCACCGAGCAGGGAGAAAGCAGAAGGTTAAGCTAAACCACACTTCAAGGAATCAAAAGACTGTTCCTTGTGCAAAGGCATGACAGGCTAGAAAAAGCCAGAGGAAGGAGCTGCAAACAGGATTTGAGTGTATACTCCAGCAGCCGCACCTGCGCAGCCGGAGGTGAGCAGGGTGAGTGCCCAGAGGCACCAGGCTGCCTCGGCACAGCCGGAGCTGGGATCAGCCGGAGGAAGACTCCAGCTCGCAGGAAAGAGCGTTTCACCCACTCTGTACAATGTAAATGCAGCACGCCTCTAGAACAAAGAGGATTTGAATCTGTCCATGGCAGAAGGGGCCAACAAGCCACAAGGGATGCAGGCTGGTCATGGTGGCTGCAAACCGGACTTGGACTTCCCAGGAGCGGGGCAGGAGGGTATCCGAGTGTGCTGGAAATTTGCAACAGAGGTAGTGGAAATTTGGCATTGGTGGAGAAGGATAGAGGAGCAGCTGGAGGAGGCTCCCATACCAATTTTCAATGCATCTCATTAGCAGCTTCTGGAGCCATCTCTGTTTCACTCCTCAGTACAGAGCAGCCAACGACTTTTGGCTTGCGGCCTCCACAAAGCTATTTCCTACTGCTGAACGTCCTTCCAAGGATGATGTGCCTGCTGCACTGATATTGCTCTTGGGGAAGCACAGGAGAGGGACAGCAGCACCACCAAATAAGCAGAGACACTGGTTTCACGATCCAGGTAGTTGCAGGGCAGCGTTCCTGCTCCCCTGCACACAGCATGGTGCCACACCACCGAGTTGCAAGCACATGTCATTGAGATCGTAGTCAAGACCTCAAATCACCAGACTGATGCTTTTTCTTCTCAAACCACCATCCCCCTTCTAAACTTTTTCTTACAGAAGGTCTTTATGCTGAAGGAGAAGAAAACAAGTTAAGTTCCTGCCTGTAGAACAAGGAGAGACTGTGGGGAGCAGTTCAGTTTCCTTGAACGCAGGTGGGGAGCTGTGGCTTCAGAAGGCAACAGCTCTGCAAGCCGTCAGGACACCACAGGCTAGAGGGAGACAGAGAGAGAGCAGGAGGTAGACAGCCCCAAACACAGATGGCCCACAGGGCAGACTTAGATACAGCAGGAGCAGGGACATTAATGCACAACCTCAGATGCCCCAAAAGCAACAGCAATCTGAGAAAGAAAAGGCTGAGTGGTCTAGGATGAACCAGTCACTAGTCCGAGCTCAGCCCTGTCCTGAAATCTAATCTCAAATAACTGCACCATCCAAGCTGTGGAATAGCTGCTGCTGCCTTAGAGACCTTGCTTACTGTTCCACCCACAGGTCTTCCTTTGCTCAGTTTTGTGTTTTATGCCCACTGGGAAAAACACAACAGTCCCTGACCAGCAACACTTTAGAAATTATGTTGTTTCCCAGACCCTCCAACCTTCCTTCTCTTTTCCACTGTAAATCTATCAGGCTTTATTTGTTTAAAAGTGATCCCCCAAGCCCACCCCCCAAGGTTCAGACCACCTCTCTTCCCTTGGGAAAGCCTGAGCAACAGGCTGTGCAATTTCATCTCCAACTGTGTGCTTCAAGAGCATAGCATTGGTGCCTTCTGCCTCCCAGATGGGAGCTGTACCTCCATCATGGACCCTCGATGTTGACAAGATTATCCTACGATGCTGAACACCCCTTGTGCAAACACAGTCTGGGACAACAGAATATCTGTGCCAGCAGACGCGTCTCCTCCTCGATGACGTTAGCTAATCCAACAAAGCGCTCTTCTCAGCACAGCTGTACGCACTGCAGAGCTTCAGATAACAAAGCCACTCAGCCTTTTTCTTACCCAGCGCTATCATGATTATAGTAGTATAACTACAGTTACCCAGGTCAACACACCCTGGGTTTGAGAAGCTGCGGGTGCCCAGGCATCATTTTACTACATCAGCAGTTTTCAACCTGTCATCTGCGAACTCCATCTACAAGTTCCACCAAAGGCAACTAATAGAAGCAAGCCTTTAGCTATAGGCAGCCTCTAGCTACACTGGAGACTCTTAGGGATTCAAAAACCAGGTTGAAACACCACTGCACAGTGATCCAAAACATGCAGAGACCTGGCCAGCGATACCACCGCTGTGAGGAAGTCAGTACTCACTGGAGGAAATCAAAGGATGGTAGTTACTCCAGTAACCTGACACACTGGAGACAAGTATGAATTATATTCACAGCAGCTGGGGCGGCGACATGTCTACCTGGCACGTGAGACCAGCTGGAGTGAACATTTCCAGATCAGACCGGGGAATATACCAAAGAAGACAGAGACAGTGGAAAAGAGAGCAACACCACATAGCTCACTTCTACTGTGCCATGGGAGCACTTACAGTTGATATCATCAAGATAGTTAAAATACTGATGCCATTAGCTACCAGCCAG